ATCGAAACGTCATAGAAAATCATGCAATCAATTAGAGATCAGACATATTTCGATTGAAATTGAAAAAATAGGAAACAGTGTCCGGTTATCCATTTGTCAAATGAATCTCGTTTACCAAGCCAAGATTATTTCATGGAAAATGATTTAACGAAGGTCGTCATTATGGACATCTTCATATTTCTTTTTGTGTTTATTGATTTGATGAAAGTGATCGAGTTGAATTTCTTTTGGCTCAGAAGAAAACCTTGCGTGTCTTTTGTTAAGACAACTAGTCACCGATTGTGTAACGATCAATCTCATTTTTTTAAAATAGAGAAAAATGAGGGGTGTGGGTTTAGATGTACCTATCCCATGAGTAGAAATCCACACCCTAATAGGTTCTATTGGCTTTAATCATAACAACAAATGAAGAGAGCAGTTGGGAATAATTGAAATACACACTATATCTCACTCTTATATGCAATCTTACTTGTATTCTCACATCCTAAAGTAAAAAATTAATTTCTGGAGATGAAAAGAAATCTAGTTTCTAGGTTTGAGTAAACTGTGCCACAGTTTTGCCGTTTCCATGACCATGATGATGATAACATAGATGAATTCTTTGAGCCATCTTTTCGCTTACTAATTATTAGAGACCTTCAGGATGCAGATCCTATAGTGTGTTCGAGTAAAGATGTAGCGGATACCAAGTCACTAATAATCTGACATAGGGTAGGATAATATCAACCATGTTTCGTGGTGATGTAGCTTTACGGTTAAAGAATGTTTGCTGGGGCTACAGAAGGAGAAAACGAAAGCTTTCTTTATAGATCTTCTTATGATATTATTTTGAGGTTTGTTAATTATAGAGCCTTTAGGTTAATTCTATCAGATGATAAAGTCATCGATAACAGCTTATCTGTTATATATTTTTACCCAACCGGGATAACTGTTTGTTGTCAATGAGATTTTTGTCTAGGGGAAAAACTCGTCGTGATTTTATATTATTATCAATAATAGTTAGAAGAGTATATTCCTCAATTTTGGCTTATATTTCATTGAATAGATTATTTAAGTCATCAGGATTGACATTTACTGGAAAATCAATATGCCTATTTCGAAAGTTAAACTTATAAGACTATTTATTCGTTTTCACCAGAAACTCGAAAACAACCAGTAGCAATAAGATATATATTGCCGCTTACAATTTTTTTTGTTGATTCGATTTTGAACTTGATATCTTCATCTGGGCTTTCTTATTCTGTTATTCACATTACAAGTGACCATTTTTCTGTTAATTTTTTTTTCTAGTACAGCATGCTTGATTAATTTTATGAACGGAACACTGTCAATGCCTTTGAGGAAATTAGTAATTGTATAGTATTTGACAACGCAACTCATGTAGATTAGGACACATAACAAAATTCGTCGTTCAAGCAGAACGACTGAGTAATTATGTCGTAGGTGAATATTCGATGTATTAAATTCATTCTTCTGCAACAGATATTTGGGCGTGATTTAATGTGATCGATAGCTACCGTAAAGATTTTCTATGATATACTTACCATAAGTAAAACATTTGTTATCTGTTGAAAACATGTTTATACAACATTCTAAAATAGTTCTAAAAAAACTACTTGATTCATTACATATATATCTTTTATTTATCTTTTTTTATTTCGTTATTTAAAAAACAAGAGTCATACTAGATTGCGCTTCCGGAGCAGAGTGTTTTGAAACATACGATTCTTCAAATGAATTTTGTGGTAAAACGATGTATCCGGACTGCATAGCCAATCTGACTCAATCAAATATATATTCAAACCTTATTTATAGTGGAAATGAATTGACATGGTGCAATTACAACAGAACAGAAAAACACCAGTATGGCGCCACCTACAAATTATATGTAAGTGGAGATATCGTTTTGGCATGCAGAAAGACATAAAATGAAAACATGAAGGCGTGATTTTTAATAATCTAAACAGAAAAACATAAACTCGGATATGTGGATCCTTTAAGGAGAAGTGCCTTTCGTTTTTATCTGTTTGGAATTCAAGAACAGGTATTCATCTTTGACATCGAGTACTTTTACAAGAAACTATAAGTTTAGTAGACTGAGATTGCCGATATGATGCGTCTTAGAAACTACTAGTTGAAGTAAAACGAATAGGATTGAACGTGTTTTTTTTATTATTCAAGGTAGAAGAATTCTTTTTCTCTTTTCATTCTATTCAAATATTAGTGTTCTGTATGATGAAATGGAATTTAATGCTGCACAAACGAATACTGTTGCAATAGTAGCAAAAGAAAAACATGTTCTCATTTTCAATAAAAGACAAAGATGTGTGAAAGAACATTTCATGAAATACGAATCGGTTGAAACACTAACAAATTCATAAGCATAATAAAAGAATTTTTTTAATTTTGTTATGAATTTCAAGAAGAAAAAAATACCAAGATTTTTTACTTGTTGGATAGATGATATTTTGATTGTCTCTAAAAGACTTGTAGAAAAAAAAATAAGAAGATCAATTCTAAGTTTGTTGAGAAATGTGAATTTAACAAAAATATTTAAGAAGTTATTTAGGTGATTTATTACAGTTGAAAAATCTATCGAAATAAATAATAAAATAGTGATTTCATAAAAATTGATATTAATTGTAGAATGTTTTCCTCTTGTATTTGAAAATAATATAAGTAAGAAATATTTGATATTTCTGATCAATAGAATATCCTTATTAAATTAGATTTTCAAAAGATTTATTTTTTGTTTGATTTTTTTTCAAAAATGAAAATCTAATAAATTTCTTTTGAATATAATAGAACAATAATCGTTTATAAAATACTTTTTATGAATATCAAAGAATCGAAAAAAGATGATGTAAACAATAAAATCGAAATGAAAAGAAATATTGTGATATAATCAATCATTAATCTGAATTTGAATAATAAAAGTTTAATTAATAAATATTTGATATAATTATTTATCTAGAAAGTTTTTTTATTTGATTTAAAAAATCGATTGTATAGAAATGATTAATAATTGACAAAAGAAATATCTTTATAAATATTATTTCAATGATCAAATGTTTAATGTATCTCGATAAATTAATCAATATTTAAATGAAGAATTTATTATTCGAACAAATCTTCTTTTATTTAATAAAGATTTTTTATAAGAATTATATAAAATATAATTTTCATTTACTTCGATTAAAAATTTCCAAAAAGAATATTTATTTTGATGATATTATTAAGTTAATTGTAGAATTTTTACAATATTATGTATGATTTGAATTTAAACACAATTTTCATATTGGTTTTTTGTAAAATACATATCTAATGTAATCTCAAGGTTGATAACAACATCAAGATTAAGCAGTCATGACCGATTTCGTCCTTGCTTAAGGGATTCATCAGATGGCATCAATCTTATTCATCGTCAAAGAGATGACAATGAAACTGCAATTCAACTCCTACGAACAGAGGAGATACAGTGTTAAATTGTATGACTACATTACGATTAAGCAGCCATGACCGCGTCGTTGAAAATATTATCTAAAATGGAGAACAATTTTTTAATTTTTTCTTTTTTTCGTATGCGGTGATTTTGTTTCTCTCCCATTTCTTTTTAATAGTGAGAGATGTACAAAGATGATAATAATTAGGAAAAGATGAGATTAAGAGATCTGAAGAATTTTTATAGCGTTGTCAAGTATTTGATGCTTGTTTTCGATGAAGTTTGATGCAGCATAGAAGGCGTTTATGTTTTTGAATAATTGGTATGAATTATGTGTTGTTTTTTCGTAAGGTAATCAGAGAGAAATGTGGACTAGTTCGGACAAGCTCTTGTGTTATATTTGATCTATCACTACTACCAATAATTAGTTAGGTTTCCATCACATTTGTATTATTAAATGTGGGTGTGGAATGGATAGGTGGTGAGGTGGGTGCGGGGTGGAATGGGTGGATGGTGAGGTGTGCGTGGGGAGGTGTGGAGTGAGTGGTGGTGAGGTGGGTGTGCGGTGTGCATGGGTGTGTGGGTGTGGATGTGAGTGTATTTAGAGAGAAGATCCACACCCATACCCTCAGCCACATCCATACACCCACTCCTACACCCACACCCGCACACACCCCACAGGCACCCACACCCACCCTCTAATTGAGATCTTCGGTTGAATAACAACTGCACAATCAACGATGTTTCTAGAATATGATAACATTATCAAATATCAATTTAAACGTGTGTATGGATGAAGTGATGGTGGTTCTCTTCATGCAAGCACATCTATATCCTCAGTATCAATTCTTGTAATCGCTCTGGAAACAAAAATTGCCGACGTCTCACGTTTCCCTACAATATTTTTGATTGCTGCGAATATCAACACTGCAGTAAATTATAGGCCGTATGCATTCATCTCACTTTTACAAACATTACATTTCTTCCAGTCATATACTATTTATAATCAAAAAATATCCACATGACAGACAACTACCATTATTATTAACATGAAAAAGGGGAAATAAAGCGATGCTCTATAATTCGTAGAATTTCCTTGGCCGAGCATGTAAGTCGTTGCTTCTATCGTAATGATTATTGTTGTTGTTGTTATTGCTGTTTGCGTCGTGGACGTTGTTATTATTGCTGTCGTCGACGTTGTTATTGCTGCTGTTGTGAACGTTGTTGTTGGAAACAAAGAAGAATCAACGCTTTGTATCCAATCGTACGATATCGACGTAGCAAAGCCAACTCGGTTGTTTACTATATCAAATACTGAATAATAACGATAGAGAAAGTAATCACCTAAGATCCAGAAAAGATTGCCATGAGAATCTGTCATATTATCTGGAACGAAGACGCTAAAGCAAATGTAACCATTCAATTGATCGCGAACGATCAACAAATATTGTAGTGGTGTTAATGAAAATCCTCTATCACCTATTGTGAATGTAACATTAGGAAATAGAGATAGTGAACGAGTGTAGCAATCAACTGTATACTTAAAGATTGAGAAGATTTAAATGATATTATTTTCAGAGAGATTAGCAAGAAAAAGACATACCAGTCCACTAGTTGAATCGTAGGCACCACCTAGGGCAGCATTCAATGCAGTAACTTGAATTGTAGGTCCAATGATGAATGTCGTGCCGGTGTCAGCAATAGCATACACTGATGAACTTAAAATAGTTGATCCGATACTTACACTATTCAAATGAGAATGAAATTAGAACGAGAAAAATTGCTCAATAAACTATTACCTAGTCATGAGGAATTCCCAATATCCTTCTATTGCGACAGGAATGTAAGTAATAGAACCAGTGTATTTGCTTGAGTCTGCACTACCGAATATAAGTTCACCACCGGATTCCGCATTTGTATCACTGAAGACAAAATTTACATGAGAGATATTTAGAATCACTCATAGGATACTTACGGATTTAAATAGAAAGTAAAAATGGCTTCTGGAATGAGACCTTGAGACCACATGTTGTAGAAAAGTGGTTTCTCGGCACCTTTTGCCAAATTTGGATAGGCAAGACCCAGAATACCATCATTAACATCGCCATTCATACCTCTGAGAGATGTGCATTCAGCAAATGTTTGGTTTTGGACTGCAATTCCATTGATCTGAATCAAATAATCATTCAGTAATAAATTCTATGAAATGAATGAATGTTCTCTTTTTTTTTCTACAATTTCCTTCGAAGAATAAAAGCATTATTGAGCTACTTTGCTTTGTTCAGAGAACTAAGTGAACAGAAAAAAAGCGGCAGATTTGATAATCTTATGCTTCAAACTATGAACGATTCTCCATTATCTCGATAATGATACAATAATTTACTGTGACAGTATCAATACTGAAAAAACCAGATGCTGAAGAACCATCACCATAGGTTATTAAAAATCTTTTCCCATTAGCTACATATGTTGTTGACTGTGTCGAAGTATACTTATTGAAACCAGCTAAAAAATTGAAACATGATTCAGATCTATATGTTTGAGCGAATATCAATAACCTACTACAGGACGATCGACAGCTGCTTGATGGTACCCATAGATCGGAGGAACCTGTATCGAAATCGATAAGAAAATTTTGCGCTGGTGTTCCGATTGATATCAATCCGATGAAATAAGCCTATTCAGAAAAACAGTTTTCAAAGGCTTACAATGAACAGATTACCAATGTGAGTATTCCTATACCAAAACTTCTGTTCATGTCTATATGTCGAGTTATTTGATCTTTCAGATACTCAGAAATAAGTATTTTTTTCGACTAATTAAATCAAATTATAATTGGAAAAATTATTTGTTACTTTCTATAAGATGAGCTTAGAGATGACAGACAATTACTTACATCAGCTTCATTGATGAGATTTTCATAAATAGAAGATTTTGTCAGAAAAATTTTGCCCAATTTACGCGAAAATATTTGACAGGTCATCATATTTGTCGGTGATATTGTACAATTTGTTTTAGTGGACGATGGTCGTTGAATGCGATGAATAGAAATTCTAACAATTCAGAGTAAATTAATTCATGCATCGATTCAGTCTACCAAAAGAGCTTACCGAAATGCATCACTGCCAGCCGTTTCATCACATAAACCAATGACAATGAGCATAACAAGTATTTCAATAGTCACTTTCGACATTAATCTTTTCCTATTTGCTTACACGTACGAAGTATAAAATAAAATCTATGTACTAAGATCAAAAGCACATCATTTTAATTATTAGAAATGAGCTAAGCAATAAGTAATAGAGTGATGTTGTATGCATAAATATCATAAAGAATAAACAGGTTTCCTTTCTGATTGTTACCCATTCTATCCGAGTGCATTTTCATTTTACAAGAAATACTAAGCAGAGAGAATTTTTCCTGACGAGCCAAAGCGCTGCTACGGAGAAATATAATGAAAGAACAGATGAAGAAAGTAACATAAGTTCTTCCTGACGTAGAAAAAAGTTAGTTAATGTGAATCAACAAGATAAAGACACTCGAGTGTTTCTGCATGTTCACATTTACAAGAAGAATGAAATGAATGTATAAATATAGTGGTTAGGAAGAAAAAGAAAATGAGTCACTTCTGTGTTATCTGGCATTAAACAGCCTATTGATGAAACAAAGAAAACCTCTTTGTTTTGTATTATTATTATTATTTATTGTTCCACGATATTCAATGAGATTTTGCTCAATTATTTCGATCTGGAGAAACACTATTATAGTTCAAGAACGAAGATGACCCTAGTGACTTTGGATTTATACCAATCAATAGGGCACATTATGAGACATTCACCTACGCGAGAAATCACGTACTGACTTTAGTCAATGTTGGAGAGTTATTGAAGGTTACTGTGAATTTTCTACACAAAACCGATATCTCTTAGCTGTAGCTTCTCAAACGAGATATTCTTAAAAATAATATACAATTACTAAATTATTTAGATAGCTAATTTACGAGTCTGATAAATCCGTACATTTTTATATTATATAGATATTTAAAGTAAATATTACTTCACAGTTAATTGCAAGGTAAAGGTCTTAGAGGAAAGCATTCAATCATATATTAAATTAGTACTGAGAATTATTAAAAAGTAACCATAATCAAACTAATTTACACCAAAAAGTTAAACGGTAAATTTATTTCTATTAAACGTTAAAGAGTAATTATTATGTCAAACTGTTTTCGAACTGTATATATATGCAAAATATTAAAAGTTGCTTTATACAATGATTGTAACGTTTTTGAAAATGAGTCCTCTCTATCTTGTAATATTCAAAATATCTAAGTGTGTTTCTGAAATTTTGACATCGATCAGAGAACCTATAAACACTCTTAAGAGAATTTAAGTAATATTAATTGACTGCATTACGTTCAATAATGATGCTATTTCCAGTTTTAAAGTGAACTAAGTCTCATTTTCAAGTTTTCTGAAATTTAAAAGCTCCAAATAACATGATAGAAAAATCTATATATCCTTTTAAGTGTACTTGAAAGACATCCAACTACTTTCGGCACTCTCAAGAAAACACTCAAATCTTAAAAATACTATAAAATAGAGAGATCAGCTTTGTGTAAATCGAAAATTCTTGATTTCTTTGATCTATTGAGTATCTTCGAATGAAAATCCTATAAGAAAAGACTAGCTACGTACATAGTGTATTCTACCGACTAGTAAAAGCTACAAATCACTAGCGTTATTCATTCTCGAATTATTCAAAAGCACTATCGAGTCTCTTTATTGATTCATGTTGTTTTTAACAACAAAATCATCTTTCAAATCAGAAAGCTATTGGCACGTTTGTCATTAATATTCTCGTTTAAACTCAGTTACGCTTGTAATGAACTGTTTCTTTCTTATTTTCTCAAACACTAAAATCTTTGAACATTGCACAAAATTCTTTTATTATTCATCACATTTGTACCAGCAATAAGCAAAAAAAACGAGAAAGAAACGTGTAATCTAACTTACAAGGTCAGTTGCTGAAAACATCATGATTCAAGTTGGTTATATACCTGAGCCTATTTGATGAAAGCTATCGTACATCAATCATTCTAATAAATATTTCAGAGAACGATTCGATCGAATTCTATTGATGTGAATCAAACTACAGGTGTACGCAAATATTCATATCTTCAACTTTCAATATTTTTACAAATGTAGACATTAACCATAAGTATGGTCTCGGTTAATTACAGTGTGCAATAGCAAGTGATTCATAATAAACGATTATGCAGAGTAATGGGCTGTGGTGGCATATTTAATAGTACAATTCAAAAGAGCATTTTTAGTGCATAATTTATGTCATATTCGATTTGTACTTTGTAAAAGAAGTCAATCTTTTTCTAAATGAAAACACTGATGTGACAAGCTGAAAATGGATATGAAAGCAGTGGCCTAGTCAAGTGTTCTTCAAGTATTGAATCATTTCTCAGCTTAATACTTCTAAGAATTAAACAATCAAGGACAGTGAGAGTACAATATGTATAAGATGCTCGACAACAATCAATAGTCAATGAATAAAATTTCCACTGAACTATACTATGTCAACAAATTTTGGCTTCAGACATTGTGAGTTAAAATAAAAAGAAATATTTTTGTTGAATCTAATTATAAATACGCTGTAACTTCAATATGATTCTATTATCAACTAGATCGTACAACAGTTGATGATGAGATCATATTCCGTTCGTAATTTTAGATATTCACATAATACTTTTTTGTCTTTGTCACACACTAAAATTGCTGAAAAAAAGGTATGAAACACTATTTGAATATACTTATTGAGATATTGCTGCAGGTGAAGCAAATTTTTGTACGCTGAAACGTGGCAAACTCTGCAGTGTAAGCCATTGTGATATGTCAATATTTCGAATATTTTCAATAACTTGAACAGCTTGCTCGACTGTTTCGAATGGGGTGTGGGTGGAGTGTGGGGTGGGTGTGGGTGGGTATGGGTGTGGATGTAGATGATGTTTTCTACACACACACCCACACCCAGATTGAACAGAATTTCATTGTTTTTTATCTATATGTCTTCTAGTTCAATTAGAATTAAATACATGTTTAGATCGTATTCTATATAATGAAACTCATTCATTTTTCAAATAAATAAAGAGATAACAACTTAAATCTCCAGCATAATTTTCAATTTCAAAAGTTCTTATTTAATTTATTTACAGATAATTCAACAAACCATCGTATAAAGACAAAAAAACAAATTGAGTACTGTTCCCTTTTTTAAATTCATCATCATCCCACAAACAATAATGTAAGAACGACATATTCTTATTTCTTCCATTCAGCTTCTTGCATTTCTATTCATTCTTAATTAGCCTACACCAAATGATCAAAACTCTATTCCAGACATCTACTCTAGATTAATACTTGCCGTTATACGACCTGCACAACGCAGAACAAGCAGTTCCATGAGACAAACTATCTTCAACAATATCGCAACAATTACAATAAAATTTTTCCTTCCGTCAACAATCCAAAGAAAACCAACCATATAGAAACATTGAAAGTCTAGCTCATAAAGACTCAGATGGTTACTATGCATTGCTCTGACCAACGCATCTACCAAAATGACATGTACAAACCACCACAAACATAACAGTATAAAAGACAAAACAAAAATACAAAGACAACCTCAACAACTACACAAAAACAGACCAAGAGGATGCAATTTTACAAATGCATCCCAATTACATAAACAACCACAAAAACGTCACAAACACAATCCAGAAACAAAAGACATGACACGACTACTGTCAACGACACAATAGCACCTTACAAAATAGCCAACTCTTCCCTGGCACCAATCGACAATAATTCCACAATCAATCGACGAATCTTCTATCAGATAATGCTATCAGAGAACCATACTTTTCGCAATTTTTCTATATAACCAAACCTGTTACAGTAATATTTAGTGCCGCCTTATAAGATTTGTTTCAGCAACATTGAAATACTATAGCATCTTGGTAGCTATACACACCCAAGATATATTTTGTTTTGGATTTTATCTTATCGAAAATTCAGAATAGACAAATCATCTGATGAGTCCCTTAAGCAAGGACGAAACCGGTCAAGCCAGCTTCTTCACCTCCACACTCATTCGTATCCGCACCCACACCCTTTTGTGATCGCTAATAGAAGTTTATCGTATGGGTGTGGGTGTGGATGTGTGGTGTGGGTGTGGGTGTGAGTGTAAGTGTGGTGTGGGAGTGAGTGTAGTTGTGGTTGTGGGTGTGGGTGTGAATGTGTTTACTATGTAAGACAACATTTGTAGCTAGTCAACACCCACACCCATACCCACCTACACCCACACCCACCCCACACCCACAGGGTGTGGGTGTGGGGTGGGTGGATGAGGTACGGGTGTGGGAGTGATGTATGAGTGTTGGGTGTGGGTAGAGATACGGGTGCGGAATGTCGGTCTTTTTCTTGACAATACCCACACTCACACCCACACCTCACCCACCCACACCCACATTCCACCCTCATCCCACCGACATCCACATCTACATCCGCACGCTCACACCCGCGCTCCATTCATATTCACCCACACCCACACCCCATCCACACCCCACACCCACACCCTACACCCCACACCCCACACCCACATCGAAAAAGTTTCTGGTCTATCTTTTCTTCGTTCATATGTAATTAAACTATGTAATTTAGCTTCATTAATTGAACTTTGTGGATGATTTATAATCAATGATTTTTTAATTTGAGCTTCTGTTATTCTACATTTGACATGATTACATACGCATTGACGTATTGGTGACGGTAATCTTGTTGTTGAATTTCGTTCATTTTCTTCATGTTTATGTGTGTTTCTTGACATAATGGTTGCCGATTGCATGTGGTTGTCCGCCACAATAATTTTAATTTCAAATGAACATAATGGATATTTTCTGTATTCGCTGCATTTAAATGAGTATTTGGTTTCCCTTTTTAAATCTGATCGTCGATATTGACAAACATTTTATTTTGTTGTTGCAAAGTCTTTTGCTTCTTCATATGATTTAGCGATGTGTAACAATGTCCATTCTGTAGACATTTTTAGTATGCTATGGTTGCTTATGACGGGACACATCTTAAAAGTGTTCTTAGTTAATTGGATCATTCAGACCGGATA